TTTAATAGCCTAATGCTTGTTTAAAGTCATATCAGACTTCTCATTTTAGGCTTTAAGGAATTTCCCCAGTAATATTAAAAATTATGTTATATAATTATTATTATTTTATATAATTATAATTATATAATAGTGCTGTCAAACGATTAATCGAGATTAATCGCATCCAAAATAAAAGTTTTTATTTACATAATATTACTGTGTATATTTATTATGTATATATAAATACACACACATACAGTATATATTTTGAAAACATTTACATGTATTTACATGTAAATATTTATATTCATATCATTTATGAATATAAATATATTTAATATATAAATGTGACATATTTTCTTAAATATATACATGCATGGGTGTGTATTTATATATAAATAATAAATATACACAGTACACACACATATACTATGTAAACAAAAACTTTTATTTTGGATGCGATTAATTGTTTGACAGCACTAATAATCTATAGTAAATCTACGTAATCTATAATGAAAATTAACCTACTGAAACACATATTTTAACTTGAACTTGAAACTTATGATGAAAAATTCATCATCAGCCAAGCTATTGACAAGATATCGCATACAAGATAAGCCATTCAACAGGCCTGTTTTACAACAGGCTTAATCACTTTAGAATTAGGTCCATTTTTTTGATAAGGCTATATAGTCCATATTAGAACCTATATATTAGTCTTTCTTTCATTCTTTTTTCCTTTGTTTTCTGCATCAGACCCTATAAATTGCCTCTGCCCTTATGTGGCAATATGGAGCTCACAGTGGATTGTCTTTGCAGCCTTGTGACTCCATTAATGCGCTCGGCTCGGCACAAATTGAATGTGACGCAATAACAGAGTATGAGGCACCTGCACTCAATTCTCTGCAAGCATGTAGCGATAAATTATCGTACAGCTCCAGTCTTTCGGCCCCTGATGGCATTGCTTTCAATGAACACTTGGGGGCAATGTTGGATTAACTCAGTGAGGGCCCCAAAGGGGACGCACCACACAGAGAGATTTTCATCATGTTGCTGAGACACTGTGGGTTTACATTTACATGCATAGAAAAACAGCGACTAAGCTTGGTTTAGTGTGATGTGATATAATTAAATGTATAGGGTCTTCACATCTGCAACCCTGCTAACGCTGCTGATGTCAGTATTCCTGCAGTGGTTTACAGTTTTCCACCAATTCCTAATTTAAGGACCATCAAACCTGATCTTGTGTAGCTAGGCAGTTTAATAGAATGGGAAAATAATACAGCGTCATTTATCAGTGCCAAATTTCAAAAGGTAAGCCGTGACCCCAAGAATTCCTATATCTGGCATAAGCAATATGTTTCAGTAAAGCTGTATAACAATGCAGACACACAGCTCTTATTGTTTATATTATACAAAAATGAGTTTTTCTGTATTTATCGGACCCTGTAGTTGCCGCTCCACGAGTAGAAAGTAATTTACATTTTGAAAGATTTAAATCTTGTATTCTGATCAAATTTGCATTTCTGCCCTAACAGTGAATTCTCAGAGTCAGACAAAGGAAGGAAGTAAGGCTTTAGGAATATTATAGAAATATGAATTGTTCTCCTGCATATTTATTTAAGCCTGCCAGCGCTCTCGTCCATCTAATCAATAACCAGTCCTACATAATTGTGGCTATACGCACACATTTACATTTGACAGTACTACTGTGGCGTCTAGCATTACAGAGCCAACTAGAAATTAAGATTAAATACGGATTAAGTTCCCTTTAGACTTCATTTAATTATAACATGCCGACTGTTCTCATTTTCTATTTTATATGCATGCTTCTTGATGAAAGCAACCTCGTATAGACCACGTAGTTTGCTTGTTAATTTTGGCTAATCAAGCCTTCAATGTATCATTTGCAAAATAACAAGATAACCATCGAAAGCACTTTGGAAGGCACGTCTGTGAATGCGGTTTCTAATTTGCTGATTCAATTATACAGCATATGCTAATGACCAGCCTCTAACGTACTGAAGAACGAGAGTTGACTGCTTGTCACACAGACGTCTATCTTTGGATCCCCTGCAAGCAGAGCTTTGTATCTTCCTAATAAAGAGAGATCCAGATAGCAGAAGAGGGAGGGGCAGCTACTCAACAGAGGTGTGTGGGCACAGAGAAAGTGATACGTCTTTATTAATAAACCATAAAATTTAATTCACACCGTTCCTCGCTCCCCATCTCCCTCTTTATCTGTCTCTCTTCATGTGGAGCCAGAAAGGTGGCACAAGTGATAGCACACTGTAAGCGTATATTTGAGAAATATGAGAGAGAGAGAGAGAGAGAGAGAGAGAGAGAGAGAGAGAGAGAGACGGTCCAGCTGTGCCAGATTTCATAAACGCATGGTGCAAGTTTTGCTAGTTATGAGAGTCACTCACAACCACCAGACACCCAGATATGACAACGTGAGCCATCATTTTGAGTGGCAGGCTCTGATGCTATAATTGTGTGTTTTTAGATGAACTCCAGGGCTTGGATTTAAAGGGATAGTTCACCCCCAAAATTGAAAGGTTTGTCATGCTGTTCTAAACCTGTGTGCTGTTGTCTAGTTTCTGTGGAACACAAAAGGTGAATTGTTGAAGAATCTTAAAACACTCTTTTACATTCAAGAACAGTTCATATAGACACCATGTCTTTCAAGAAATTCTCTTGTGAAAAAGAAGTACACTTTAGCATACTTTTAAAAAGAGTACTTACTACAGAAATTATATATTTTAAAAGAATATACCAGTGCAAAATGAATGTAATGTTTTCTGACACTTAAATGCAGGTTAATTGCAAATAAATTAAAACGTATTATAGGTTAAATTGATATTAAATGCAATTAACTGAACTTTAGAGTGCTTTTCCCACTAATGTAGGACTTTATATGTAATTTCATATTGTCTTTGAAACATGGTTAAAGGGCACTGCCCAAAGTACTGACAAACTTTTTTTCGTAAACTAAAATATACTTTTTATTCCCAATTTCTACACTAAAACTTGCTTGTAAATTTCACAAATAATTACAAAGAAACAGCAAGTAACACACTGAATTAACTGTGCAATTTTGAAAAACTGAAATAGCATTTTCTTGTCAAACCCACTCCAATAATATTTATTTTATTTACAACTTTTTTTTACAGTGTATTGAAACTTGTATGTCATGTATTTAAATTTATTTGTAATTACACACTTAATCAAATACTTTACATGTGCTTTAGTGTGTTAGTCAGAATAAGTTCACTTCTTTAAAACACAACAGAAGATTAAAACATAATGATTTAAAATGTACTTTAAAGTAAATCTTTTATTTTGACTTTATTACAAAGTGCACTTTTTAAAATTGTGTACTTAAGGGTTTTAAGAAACATGAAAGTTTATAGCATTAAGATTGTATTATCTGCGATACAGTTTTTTATTTAAAAAAGCATTCTTTTAAGATTTAAAGTACACTACAAATGCACTTTCAATACAATTAAGTGTGCTTCTTTTTCACAAGGGCTATACAATATAAAACACTATAAATATTACAACTTGTGTGTTATGTCACACATATTTAAAAGTCGTATGAGAACATTTATGTGAGGAACAGACTGAAACTTAAGTCATTATTAACTGATAAACTTCCCTCTTCTGATCTAAAAATGTTGCATCAATGCATCATTTCAGTTTTTCAGTTATAAACAACTTAAATTAATTCACACATGTTGATTCATAAGATTTGAAATATACTGCAGCATTTTATTTAAAGAGCTTTTCTGCCCTTTTTACAGTGAATTGGCTTTTTTTCAAAGAGTCCAGGGACTTGAAAAGTGCAGAGATGTAAATATGTTGGTGCAGTTTTGTGTATCTTCAAGAAGCTGTGAAAAATCATATGTAATGCATATTTTCTTTTACCAAGAAAAGAAGCATTGATTTTCACTTTGACAGATTTTATTGCCATGATTAAAATACACAGTGAAAGAAAACTTGCTCCTCATG